ATGCTGCTGCAGACCATTGAGAGCATGGAAGCCGTGTCTTGAGTCGGCAAATCGACAGACTGACCTCGTCCACGATCGTGATGTCCTCAGGCTCATCTTCCGGGTGATGACCAGCGTTCTTGGCGTCGGTGGCATGGGTGGGCTCGGTGGAAGAGTTCTTGGGAGCGTTTGGGACAAACATGTGACGAGCGTGGTGGGCTTTAACGCGAGCTTCCAAGGTCGCTTTCCTAGGCTTCTTCTTGTCTAGGTCGAGGTGTGACAGCGGCTCCGCGATGTCGACGTCGTTGTAGGTGAGGCGGGTGAAATGGGAGCACTTGCTGACTGCCTTTAGGTGTCCATCTACCAATTGTCCGAATACGTTACAGGAATCTGGGCACTTCTTGCGGGTACCAATCACGATGCTATCGGTGTTGTGGTCGAAACGCTCGTTGATGTAGTGCTCGGCAATGTCCAGCAGCACGGGAGACTCCATCGTGTCAGTGGCGGTATTTTGTGATGTGAGATAGGGCGAAAGACTGCAAAAGGGGAGATATAGGATGCTCCGGGTGCTGTTTTGTGGCAGATGCTCAGGCTGTTTGTTCTGAACAGTCTGCTGAAGGAGATGGCGAAGAAGGGAGATGACTAGCCCGCCCCAGCGGGAGGCCGCAGGTTCCAAGCTTGCCATCATCAACGGCACCACATCTTCCACGCGTTGGGCAAAATACGCGCTGTCGCAAAGTCCTCTGGCTCTTGGACAACGATATGTTCGGCGCAATCATTCGCTGGGCCATCGCCGGCGAGATCATTATGCTCGTTTGTCTCGCACTGTCCTGGATGCTAGCCAGAATTCCCAGGGCCGCGAGACTGAAGACATACAGCATTCTGCGCTCCGCTATGAGCGTGCTCTGTGTGGTTGCACTGGGATATCGTATCGTATATGGTCCGCATAGCTCTTTACTATCCAATGAGCCCGCGCCAGTGGTGGATGCATCAACATCGGCCACGCCAACTCCAGCGTCGACTTCAGCCTTTCTCAGCGATACATGTGTACCGAAGCCTACCTCAGGCGTGATCATTGAGATCATCAACAGTCTCAAGATCGATCCATCTCTTCCGGCGTCTGAGTCAAGTATAGTCAAAGTCACTCTCGAAGAGTTCACTGCCGACAGCTATGCCTTGCCGAGCTACCACTATGCAGCAGATCAGGCCGGAGCGCGACTGCTACAGCACCTCTTGCTACGCTTCCTCGCCAACACTGCGGACGGCGATTTATCTAAGAATCTCGACGAAGGTCTCGCTGAAGCGCTGCAAGAGTCTCGCAGGTGTCAAGCCGCGTACGACAGATTGCATGGTAAAGATAGTAGTGAGGCGCGGTTGCTGCAGGCACTCAAAGAGTTCGTAGATGTGGTGAAGATGGATATACAGACTGGTTAGCCAACCTTGCTAGGCCTCGGAGAGGAAGATGTGCAGGTCGCATCGGCAGTTATAGGCGAGGGGCAGGCGAAGGTGACAGCCTTATTGAAAGCGAGTCGCCGTACAGTATGCACGAGTGACCGGCTAGAAATGGTGGACCAGCGTTGGAAAGAGTGGAAGTCGACAGATTCGAAACAGTTGAAGTAGGTGGAGGTAGAAGGAAAAGCGTGAAAGCGTGGGGGGGAATAGAATTTCGGAGGTAGTTCTGGTGGAGCGGACACAAGAGAGGCATAATGAGAGGCTGGTCGAGTCCGCGAATTACAAGCCAAGGCAAAGCCGTGCAGAACCACTGCAGCGCCAACAAAATTTTCACCCGACCGCTTCTCCACCTCGACCATTCCATTCCCGCTGCCATCTGCCAAGTGTGCCATCTCTCGTTTGCCGACTGACTCCATTGTCTGAAAAGCGGCCTTTGCATTCACTTCCATTTTCACTCTTTGTGCAGAGTTGGTTTCTTGTTGCTAGTGAAGGACATAAGGGCGGGAGTCGGGCAGGAAACCTATAGTCGCCTAGATACCTCTACTCGACTTTGGACACCAATGAACCTATACTTTCGGTGATGATTTTGCACTCTCGATGGTTGTCGATTCCGGCGAAGAAGCGGCGGTCGGTCGAGAGTTGCTAGCAGCAGCACAGCGGAAAATGGACAATGCGCTGTGTTTAGTGTCGCCGCTACGGCTAATTAACGAAACCTAAGCTTTTGAACAAATCTGCAAGTGGAGCCAAAATGGAAGGTTGTCTAGCCACACGCTTATAAGGCTGCTCATTAGGAGTGCTTCTAATCAGTGCTGTGAATTAAGACCGCGGAAGGTAGGGAGGCGAGTGATAGGAATGGATTGCTAGTATTAACAAGGACGAGAGGTTATAGCAAGAAAGGAAGTTTCAGATAATAAGACGTTTTGGGGGTTGAGGGCTTTGCTGGATTATAATTTGGTTGCTTTCTAACGAGAGCCTTGATTGTAGGAGAGGTATTGATTGACTACATGTGTAGCATCTTATCGCTCGAAACCGAAGCTTTTCCTTTTTTTATGTGCCTTTCGCGACCTTGTGCCGTAATCCTCGGTAGCGCTGCTAGATTGAAAAGCAAAAACTCCATCTAGCATTCTATAAATCCGTCGCTTATAGTGTACATAGTGTCAATCGCCGATAATCACCTCTACAAGTCCAGAATGTCGCTAGGATAGATGATGTCGTCAAAGGTCGCATGCAGCGCAGTATAAGCGTCTGCGGTGCTCAGATCCTCCTTGTCGTCTGCGTCATCGAAGATGTCGCGGCCGCTTTACATTGGGTGGCGCCATCGCGCTCGACCTATGTCAGCTTCCTCAACGCAATCGATCATCTCCATCTAAAACATCTTCAGAGCCGAGGTCACGTCGGTAGCAGTGCGGATGCGGGAATCGCCAGGGTTGGCAGCTTGGAAGGTCCAGCCGTTGGCGAGATAAGTGCGCAGAGTTGCCTCCGCCTCTGAGTGGGCCTGGTCACTTTCCATCCAGAAGTGACCGCGACGGTGGCTCGCTTCGTTCCAGTACAGACATGCAGCGCCGACTCCAGTGATGACGCATTGGTGAACAGAAGTATGAGACTTCATGATGATTTCTATAGGCGTGTCGCCAGTGGGGATGTGCAATCGCACCATCCTCCATAACGCGATCGCCTCGCAGCACAGTCAGCCGGCCAGATGATGATTCGTTCACGGACCCAGGACCGTGTGGAATCACTCGCACCCCGTCTGGAGATACCGCCGTCCCTGTCCACATCAAGCCTGGCTAGCCATGGACAACAATGATGCTGCCATTCGGCAACTGCACACTGAACGTGCAGTAACTATTCTGCGAGCGCTTAGTGTCCAGCATATCCAACAGCGAAGCCACAGCTGGGAGCGTCTCTTCACCGACATCTTGATGCGCTAGGAGCTGCTTGAACTCATCTTCACTCACGTGCTTGACGCGAGGTTCAGCAGCGATCATAAGCATTTTAAGATCGTCCCAGACCCCAGCAAATCGGTATCCCCAGGACTTCAGCAGTCTCAGCAGACGACCGTACGCGTAAGGGCTAGCTGGAGTGTAGAACTCCCATTCATCGTCCAGGCCGCATTCGGGTAGCTAATAGCCGAGAGCTCGACTGCTAGCGATCATGATATTGTGTGTCGCCATGCTCTCCAAGAGCACCTCTGGCTCTGGGAAAGCTAATCTCAGATACTCGAATATTGGCGCACAACTGGGTGACTGCTTGTACATCAGCGACGCCGTATCACAAGCGTACGAACGCCTTACCTGGAGTTTACTGAAGCCCTTGAAGGCTAGTCCTGGTCCGTTCTCATTTAGGCGGGAGCCCTCACCAGTCTTTGAGCCAAGCAGCTCTGGGAGTGCTGGAGCTTGCTATGGCGCCTTACTGGTTGGAGAATCTCCTTCTTTTCCTAGCATCTGTAGGGACCTGCCCAAATCTCTTACGTAGGAGCCTATGCGGGAGTTGGGGACGAGATTGAAGATGAAATTGACCTCATAGAAGCCTTGCGAGGCGCTCCACGAAGTGCAGCTGTGCCGAGACGTGCGTGCATGCCGCTGGTGAAGCGGCTGCCAGTGCGACTCCCCTTGGCTTGAGGGCTGCGAACCTGATCGCTAGTGGTGCCCATGCTGGGTCCAGCAGTCTGCTGGTCGTTGCCGGTGTAGGAGGGAGTGACAGGTGTTGGAGACAAAGGCGAGGAACGAACGGCTGGTGATGGTTTCCATCTCCCCGGTTGTTATGGCTCGCAGGTGCTGGAGGAAGATGTGCGTATTCGCAGACTGTCGCTGTACTTCCTGCGTAGAGTCAGCTTGTGTCGTCGCAACTGCTTCTGCCGCCTGCTGTTCTACAACTTCTTTCTCCCTAATCAGCCGAGTGGCGCGTTGTTCAGCGTCGGTTGCCCGCAACTCTGCGGACTCGGCTCGGGAGATCGTCGCTGCCGTGTTGCCAACAAGCCGGAAGTCCTCCTTTTACGAGTACGGTTCCACAGGGCAATCCTCAATCTCGCGCCCACGCTCTCGCTCAAAGTCATCGTCATCTTCATCTTCATCGTCGGCTTCTGATCATTATACGAGCCGCTGTCACTCAACACATCGCCGAGTCTGTCACCACTCCCTTCACCCTGCGCCGAGTCCGGCCGGGACCCGTATTCCTCCACACCTTTGTTCCGCTCAAGAATGCTCTTTGCGATCGCCTCCCGCCGCTCGCGAGACGCAGTGCGCTCCTGCTCTCGTTTTCCCGACGAAGCCAATTCGCGAAGGACATCGTGCAGCGGCTCAAGCACGCTTGCAAATCCAGTCCACATTTCACGGCGAAGTGCCTCGAGCCGCTAAGTGATCTGCTCATCACAAGATCGCTTTTGATCAAGTCACAACGCATCTGCCTTGACGATGAAAACCTCGCCTGGCCTATATCTTCTACGGCCGCCTATCGCTGCTCGGACTTCTACTATCTGCTTCCATATCGCTTAAGCTCTCAAAATCTTACGTACCGACCTCAAACTTCATCGCGCCGAACGCTCCAAATCCCTCTACTAACGTCGACCTCCTTACAGACTCTTATCTACCCTACTAGCCCTTTGCTATATATCAATCATTAAGGATGGCCTTTACCGGCTACTTACTCGACTTTTCCTACGAACTTAACGATTAGTACTACGACCCCGGCTACGACTTCGAGACCTTAACTATTCTAGAGATTAAAGAGGCGTTAGAGGCACATTGCGTACCTTTTAAGAAGGGTAACACTAAATGTGTCCTAATAGCAAAGATTAAGAAACTATACGGATGTATATTAATATATAATAGATAATAGCTATAAGATTATCTTAAGGGCGACTTCGATACTACTACGCTATATATTACTATGCTCCGCTAGATCTTAAGTACGCACGATATAAAGTATATCGATACCGCGAAGAAGGATAAAGAGGCTCTTTATAATTCTTTCTTTAGTAACCTTAGTAAGATACGTGCTTAGCGCCCTCTACTATACGAGCTATTCGAAGATTAGGTTAACGTAGATAACGATACAGACATAGACGACCTTTCGCATAGTATAGGCGGGTTGCGAATAGATCGCTATACTAGTAGCGCTCCGCCTCGCTCTTAGCGAATAGGCAGCACGTTATTACGACGCCTAAATTCTTCTCGTAGCTTTCGCCTACGCGATAATACTCCGGTATATACCACTTCGTAAGACTTTATATATAATGTGCCTAACTAATTTTAGACGCTAGCTTTAAGCACGTTCTGTAATATACTATCGCTAAACCGATTCTCTCGTAAATCTACTACTACGTCTTCTCTTAGCACGCGTTCTTAAGGCAGTGCTCGCGGCAATCGCTTTTAGTAGTAGGGAGACGAGAACGACGGATTTTAAGCGCGTTATAGTAGAGGCTATACTACCGGGCTCTGCGGCGAAGATAAGCTAGTAGAATCGCGACATCGTCGTCTAAATTTACGTCCTAGACTATAAGCCTATACGACGCTATTAAGGTAGGGACAATTAGTATCGCCTACTCTAAGTCGACTAAGCGAGCGATTGTTACAATCTCGATATAACGATTTATAAGAGATTGTCGAAACAACGTCGGTCGAGATTCTTAATATTCTTACGAATAGAGGCAACCTTCGTAAGGCTAATCTTTTAATATAGAACATAGCCGCCGAGTTCTAAGACGCTTACGAAAGTTAAGACTAATTATAAAAATATACGATACTTTGTCTACTCTTTCGACTAGGCGAGCTTTTAGGTATTTATTTTTCAATCTAAGATTCGAGGGCTATATAGCTAGTTTTTATCTGTTTATAGGCGCTTTAGAGAGATATTAGATAGTATAGGTAGTATATATTCTATATAAACTCCTATAAGGCCCTAGACATCTTAGAGCTAAGAACTAGGGGTTATTAGTCTCTCGCGTAAAGACTAAGTTATCGCGGACTAAATAGGCTACGTTTAATAATGCAATCCGACTCTTTATTACTCGAGAAGAGGTACGCCTATACAAATTTACTACTTTGCGAGATCTTCGTAGACCTATAAAGATTCTAGAGGCTAGGTATACTAGTAAGGAAGTAGCTAGCGCTCGCTTCGACTCGGGTAGTAACTTATACGCTAAACTTCGCCTTACTGTATTATAGTTACTAAGAATCTCTAGATCGAGAAGGGTATTGTTAATAGTAAGATAGGCATAGTCCGTAGTACTATATAGGCGCCTAATAACGAGTACTACGACCTCTCGGATGCCGATATCGTAGCTAGCTAGCCGCTTTGTCTCTTAGTCGAGCTAGATAACTATTATAGGCTATACCTTAACGACGACAAGCCTAATATCGGCTTGCCTCCGAATATCGTACTAGTAACGCCCTTATGTTATAAGTTTAATACGACCTTCGTTACTAGAGGGAACTTTAACTAGCGTAAGTGTAGCCGTACCTAATTTCTATTAATACTAGCCTACGTAATTACTATCTATAAGTCTTAGGGCATAACGCTCGTAATAGTAGTACTAAATATAGCGTAGAAGGACTTCGCTCCCGGATTGTCGTATATCGCGGTCTCGAGAGTCCTACGAATTAGTAATACTATATTCGAGGAGCCCTTCTCGTACCGTAGATTTTAAGGCAACGCTATACTACTATCTCTCGTTATATCGGCTATATACGTCGGCGACCTTAGCGTATTTAGATAGAAGGTATTCCTATGTCTTTATCGCCGCCCTATCTAGATGCCTCCTTAAAGCGCTAATAGAATAGTAAAGTACTCTAATAGGTTGCTAAGTGCTAGTAATAATACTAGCGATAATAATAAGACTAGCTATAGGGTTAGTAGTAAGGCTAGTAGTAAGAGTAAGGCGACTATAACGCTATAGAGGAGTACGAGTTAGACTAAGCTATACTACGATTTAGAGTAATAGAATCGGTTAATAAACAAGCGTAAGATGCTAGTATACGTACGTATATATAGGAAGAGAAACTCCGTCTTCTAGCTATAAATAAAGACGATATAACATCTTAGGAACGCCTAGCTATTCCTTATATCCGCGGCAACGCTAACCTATTAGCATTTGCTAATAACTTTATACGACTAGCTCGTCCGCTTAACGTTATATAGCGACAGCTTCGTAAGCTTCGTAGCCGCCGTAGTCCTATTCGGCTACTAGTATAGTCTTAAGACGTAATAATAGGTAGAGGCTTGCTACCGCCGTCTACGAATAACTTAGTAATCGGTAGAGGCTTGCTACCGCCGTCTACGAACAACGACTTTGTAATAGGCAGAGTACTACCTTAGTCGTCCGCTTCTATAATTGCCGCCGGCGCTAGTAGACGTACTACTATTTAGGTACCTATACTACTTACTACCGATACTAACGAGTAGTAGGTTGCCGTATATAACCGTTAGTAGCAGATATACGATCTTTAATAGCAATAACAGTTTCAAATCTATAAAAACTAGCGCTAAGACCTAGCTCGGGTAGGATACTTAAGTTAGGAGAATAGGAATACTAATATAATTAAAATTATTAGGATTAAACCGAAGATAGATCGCGGCGCTTATCTATTAAGTCTTACTCTTTAACTTCGGTAGGTAGGACGTATTCCTACTACTTAAAACTAGAGGTCTATAACTCTAAAGTCGGCCGTTCGTTCTACTAAAGCTAGCCTATTAATATATTTACGGGTATAAGTTTAGTTTCCGAGTTAGAATCTAATTTAGGCTCGCCGTACTCTACTTCTAGAACCTAAACGAGATTAATATTAAGAGCGAAGTGCTAGCCGGCGCTTAGTAACGCGGACAGTCTATACTACTAATTCCTACTATATTTTTCTATCGTAAGCTACCGATTAGTAGGTCCGTAATGCGACTATACTCCTATACTACCTAGGCGCCGGATAGGGTTAAAGATATAGATTTATTAATTTTTCCTAATTAACGAGTAGCGATAACTTCCTCCTAGTTATAATAGCCTTTACTCCTAGCGTAAACGTTATCTATGCCTATCTAAAGCTATCCCTATTTTCCTACGCCCGGCGGTTTAGATATAGGGCTTACTAATATCTTCTAATACTTTACTACTAGCGTTAATTTGCTACGTTAATCCTCGCCGTAACTAGAAAGATCGGCTATTATCTAAGCCTACTATCTAGAATGCGAATGTAAGGGAATGCCCTTCTATACCGCCGAGACCCTTACTAGGCACCTATAAAGCATCCTAGAGGTGCCCCGCCGATGCCCCGAGTTACCTAACTCTTAGTACTATAGGATAAGGCGCTAATTCCTACCTCGAGAATCGTTCGTTCCTTAGGCGATATCGTTTAATACTAAGACTACTATTTACTCGTATTAATACTCCCTATATACTACTTCCTTATAGAATATCGCCTTAGAATCCTTCTTAGGAGCATAGCCGTACTAAGTACGGCCTCTAAGTAGTAGTAACTACGTCGTCGGCGCCCGCTAGGCCCCTTCGAGGTGCCTCCGATTAGCCTAAGAGTACTTCTAACTAACGTACCTACTCCCGACGTAGTACTACCTACTTAGTAGTACTATAGCTCTAAAAGGAAGCGGCAAGCTTACCGGCGGAACCGGTATATCGTTATCTAGAGGCAAAGGCCCTAATATTAACTCTCTACTAGAGGATTAGCTACCTCCCGCGAACCTAAGAGACTAACTCTAGGATAACGAAGAGGAAGACGACGATACTACTCCGGACAATACTATAGGTACCTTAAAGGAACCTCGTAGCTCCCTTTCTAGCCCTACTAGACCGGCTCCTAATAGACCGGCTCCTAGAAGACCCGACTAAGACCTAGAACGTAGGGCTAATACCTAGCGGACCGTAATATAAAACATCGAACGTGTCTCTCGACTTATCGATAACCTCGATGCTTCCCTACTAGATAATATAGAAGGCTAAGCCTTCGATACTTACGTTTAAAAGCGTAAGAACCTTATAGAACTTCTTACCTCCTTCGAAACTTATAAAATTACTAGGAAAAGGAAGAGAGCTAAGACTATCGATAAGGACTAAGTCCTTAGTACCTTATAGGTACCTCTAGTGCCCCCTCGAGATCCCTTAATCGAGCTTTTTAAAAAGGACCTACCCGAGCTCCTTACTATAAACAACTAAGCCTATCTCGAATAGGCTTTAGTATACGAAGCTCGCTTCTTTTATATAAACTATACGGATCGAGATAGAACTCGACGTACTTTATAGGCTACTAGTAAGATTAAACCCGTAGAGATTACTACTACTATCGAACAGAGAGTTTAACTATATATAGATAACTATACCGAGTTTAAGTAGCTTAAGTATAAGGAGCTTATTAAGGATACTATACGGCCTCCGGCTATATAGCGAGCCGAGAATGCAATAGCCTATTAGG